CACCAGCTCCTTCAGGACCTGTGGATGGATTCTGTCATTCTGTGACTGCTGGTTAGGCCTTTGGTTTTGAATCTGTGTGATTAATTTATGATAGTGCCTTAATCTTGTTTCTGTTGTATATTCAACTTTTCAGTTATCTTACTGACCTTGATCATATTGCTATGCCCTCATTTATGCCAACTCAGCAAGATATTCTTAGAGTCCAAGTGCCAACCACAGGAATTATTGAGTATCCTTTTGATTTAGAAAATACTGTATTTAGGTAAGACTGCCTGTCAAATAATTTAGTATACAATTGTGAAAGTAGTTGCAGCAACTTTATGTCTAAATTTCATTAAGCCTTTGCATTCAATGAGTGCTGCATGTGTTTCTAGCCCTTTCAGTTAATACTGTAACTTGAGCGGTCTTTCAAAACGTTCCTTTTGAAAATTACATTACATGTTTCCCTCCTCCCCGCGTTCAAACAGCCCATACTGTGCATGCTGAACTATTGTTTAATTAAAAGCCTTGGATGTAGGGGGAGGGTGCAGAGGCAAGGTATTTACAGTAACAGGAGGCTCTCATCAGAATACAGTTTAATTCATTTAGAGCTAACAGTTTCTGCCTCCTGACTGTAATTGTTTGGAAAAGATGACCCCATAAAGCTCTTATGTTGAGTTTACAACTTTCAGTAAAATAACATTAGGGAAGAGATTGAGGAAAGGAGGAGTTAAAAAAGTGGAGAGTCAGGACAGCAGATCTATTCTTCCTACCATGTAATAGTAAAAAAAAAAAGCTCTTTCACAAAACCACCCATTTCATCATGAACAAACAAACACCTTCCTGCAACACAGGATCAGAATCCACTCTGATAACACATGGTCAGACCAACTGTAATTTTATTGGTGGGTTTTTTCATGCAAAATGGAATGTTCTAGGTAATCCTTTGACCTGGATAAAATGTGGGAGACTTATTTAACTGTCTGCAAAACCACAAGAATTTGATGTGGAACTGATACTTGTGAGCATTTTCATTGGTTTGAGTAGTGAGTTATGACTATGCTGGGGGACTATCATAAGGAAGGTGGCAAAGGAGACTTTGGAGTGTGTGGGGATACAAATTTGAGTATGTTCACATCTGCCTTTGCTAGAACCAACGCAGAAAGATCTCCAGTGTTACATGTTGCATTTTGCCTAAAGTGGCTTATACGCCTGTACTGGGCCTGGCTAGGATAAAATTAATTTTCTTCATAGCAGTTGATCTGGTGCTGTATTTTAGATTTGTAACCAAACAGTGCTGATAACGTACCAGTGTGCTAGCTTTTACTAAACAGTGTATGCACTGCACCTAGGCCTTCTCTGTTTTTCTGCCCCCAGTGAATAGGTTCGTGGGTGCACAAGCCAGGCAGCTGAACTAAACTAACCAAAGACATAACGCCATATAATATGCTTACTGATAAAAGTGAGAAGAGGTGGCTTTAAGGAGATAGGCCATGTTTTTCTCAGGAGCTGGTTGTGAGTGATGCTTTTGTGTCACTTGTTTTGTTTTCTTTCTTCAGCTCTTCTTCCACTTACCCCTCACTTATTAAGCAATTCTTTTTTTTTGTTTTTTTAGTCTCAACCCCCAGGTTTTCTTGCTTTTATCCTTTCTTTCCTCTTCCCCATCAGCTCACAGTGTGTGTGTGGGGGGCAGTAAGTGAGCAGCTGAGTTGTGCTTAGCTGCCCACCAGGCTTAATCCACAATAACACTAAAAAGAAGTTTAAGTTGGAGCACTACAGGAAGGGAACCAAATTTAAATATTAAACAGAACATAAAATGTTAAGACCACCTTTCACAGTTCAAGCTCATCTCAGGTAGGCTTTTAGAGATACCTGAAGTATCTTACTAGAGTAACTAATATGCTGACTGCATTTCTGTTTAACATGATGGTGGATGTAGGTGGCCAAAGATCAGAAAGAAGGAATTGGATCCATTCTTTTGAAAGTGTTCCTTCCTTCATTTTCTTAGTTGGATTAAGTGAATATGATCAAGTCTTGGCAGAATGTGACAATGAGGAAAGGTATGTGGTTATATAAGGTACAGGAAAAAATGTGTGCCTTTAAAGAAAGACAGCACTTGTGTCTTCACAAAAGCATTTGCAAATACTAGAACTACATTAAGAATTTGATCAAGCAGTCCCAAAAGTTGTATTAAATTAGCAGCCTGTCTGTAAAAGTGAATTCTACCTTAGAAGACAAAACATGATATAAAATTGTTTTAAATCACTTAAGCCATGTCAAATGTTTGAGTATTTGAGTGTCAGCAGTATCTCTACACAAGTAAAATCTACCTCAGTCATCTGTAATTAGTTAGTGGTTTTTTGGTTGGGTTTTTGTTTGTTTGTTTCTTTTTAAGTCTCCGATGTTTCCAAATTAACCTGTACATTAATTAAGGAAAATTAAAACAAAATAATTTAAAATTTACCTCCTTCCCAAGGTAAGAAAACATGAGTTCTCCCTCCTTTCTAAAGTGCTTTCATCATCAGTAGCCTGATGTTGTAGAAGAGAATGCAAAAAATAAAACAGAAGGTAATCAGGGAAAAGCATATTAGGGTACTTTTGGTAGCGGTTGCTTTATGTCCTGCATTATGAGGATTCCTTCAAAGACACTTCATACCATTTGAACTCTGAAGTCCCAAAGCCCTTATAGATCACTGTCTCAAGACCTGTTCGAACTGTGAAAAGCATACCCTACTTAACTAGCTGAAGTACCCACTGTAGTTGAGATAGAGTTTACAAAGTTTTCTGTCATCTTTTGATGCATGAACAACTTTAGTAATTGTAAATTTCTTTTTTTCTTTCACTATATTGCACATTTTGTTATGCTTATTTTGGACAGTAGGAAATGAATAAAAGACTGCCATCACCAGCTTATTCCTAGGAGCTCCAAAGAGCAATCTTTGAATGTAATTCCTTAGATCACTCTTGAAATCAACAAACTTAATTACTAGTATAGTACATAATGCCCTTGTCCTTAGTTACGTTCCCGTATAGTAGTATCAGATATTTGACCCAATAGACCCTGCTTCAGTTCTCACTGTGAGGTCAGAATAGGCTTTCATAGAGCAGCAGTCTATGGCTGCTCACTAACTCATAACAAGAATTCAAGTAATTTCTATTATTAAGGCTTACCTTGATTTCACATGCCATCATACCATTCATAGCAGTGATACAAAATCCAGTGAATAAGAGGGTAAATAATATGAGGAGTAATGATCAACCAATGCATTGCAATTGCACTTAATTAAAATAATATTTTTTAAAAGCTTTCAAAAAAACCTTTATGATCTCTGGTTGATGGATTTCTATTACTGTCCAGAGAGTGTAACTTTGTATTAATTTTTGTTGTAGAATCGAATGGAAGAAAGCAAGGCCTTATTTAAAACTATCATTACATACCGCTGGTTTCTGAATACTTCACTCATTTTGTTTTTAAATAAAGAAGATCTTCTAGAAGAGAAAATAATGTATCCCCATCTCATTAGTTACTTCCAGAATACACAGGTAAGCATTTATCCCATACTATCTTCACAAATATAAAAGTCATAGTTAAAGCAGTTAGTTTTTCCTCATTAAATTGGAGTGCATTTATGCAATATATTCGATACCTATGCTTTTCTAATCTATCCTTTAAAACATAAAGTTAAGTTACTCAGTTTTACTGGAAGTTTGGGTTTTTTTATTGGATCATTGTGGACAAGTCCTAAGAGATCTCTTGCAGCCACTCTGTAACCATTAGAGTAGCACAATCACTATTTACTTACGAATTTACTTATGACAAGAATCACCTTTTTCATCTTCAATCTAAAGAGACAAGATATGGGGCAGGAACTTGGGGAATATGACTATTAACCCAACTCCTTATGTAGTATAAACACTAGGAAAGTGTTACATTCATTATTATAACTTATCTATATAAAAGTTCAAAGTTAAAAAGCAGCCTAAGTGACTTTTCTGAACAAATGTTACTCAGAGTTGCCAAGAATGATGAAAATAATTACAAATGTATTCCATCACTTAATATTATACTATAATATTACTACTAATTACTACCAATTACTGTTATTAAATTACTATTACTAATACTATAGTATTATACTATAATATTCAGCATTTATCATGCCAAATACTTCATTTAGTAAGGAAAAGATCGTAACGGTTTAATAGGTACACCCTATCTTTGCCAAAAAGAATCCTGTTTACTCCATGTGTTTTGGAAAATTTAATTTCTTGTGGTCTTTGACATACCAGAATAATGTAGCAAACTGCTAATGTATGCTGGGCAACTTCAGTTGCGTAGGTTTTTATAAAAAATTACTTGACCAGTAAGGTTTACCATTTAAAAAGCACACTCCACACATTTTTAGAAAGCAATGTTGCAACACCTCTTGCTCCACTAACATATTAATGAGAAAATGCCAACAAGAGAGTATGCCTTTATGGTGATTTGACATGTAAATATGAAACTACCCTGTTAAGACACTGCCCATATGTTTCTTCCTTGACCCATAGCTTTTAACTGTACAAACCCACTAAATTTGCTTTTGGCTAGGACCTAAACAAGACATCAGAGCTGCCAGACACTTCATTTTGAAGCTGTATCAGGGTCAATATCCAGACAAGGAGGAAGTAATCTACTCCCACTTCATTTGTGCCACAGAAAATACTAGTTTTGTCTTTGCTGCTGTTAAGGACACAATCCTGCAATTAAACCTGAGGGAGTTCAACCTGGTTTGTATACAAAACATGGCTGTAGCCACCGAGCCTGGCTTACGTATAGCACAACCTGTGTGGATTAAAAAAAAAAAAAAAAAAAAAAAAAGTGTCTTTTTAAATAGCATTTACAGAAATGGGAGGAGGATTTGTCTTTACTGAAGAAATATGGATTAAGAGAACTTTATTTCCCATATTAGTTTTGTCTGAGAGTTATTTTTGACACATGCAGAAATTAAGTATATTTAGAAGAATGTATATAACTACATTGCTGTTCAGCTGGTATTAATATTTTATTTTTTAAATTTAGCTTTTACAGTTATAGCTTGTAAAACTTCAAACAGTGATGCCTTAAAAAGGACAAGTTAGTGTTATTTTAGGAAACTAGGTATTTTTATCATGTTCTGATCAATGTAGTTGAAAGACTAGGATAAACCTATTAACACTTTTTCGAAGCATCTCTCAGTGGCCTTCATAGGCCAAAACTCATTAATGTTCTAGAAATCATTATAAAAGATTAATTATTGGTGACCCTTGTGTATCACTGCATTTTTGTTCAAGTGCCTGAAGATAATAAAATACCTTTCACAGTTAAAGAATGACGGATTAAGATCTTGTAGGCAGTCCATGGAATTTGCTATTTCCTGAAGGGGAAGTGTATTTTACAAACATTCTCAGCACTCATTGCCACAGGAGCTTGGAGATCATCCGCAGCTGACTGCAGTAAACTAGGACTTCAATTCCTCCATGTCACTAACATAACTTGCTTGTTGCACTTTGCATTCATGGGTAATTTTGCAGGGATTAGAGAGTGGTAAAGCCTCTCCTCGAGAAGATTTCCAGCCTTCTTCCCATCTCCACTCCCTGCCCAACTACAAACCTCTCCACTAAAGATGCCAGCACCACTAATAGCTCAGTCAGTTCTCCTTCACTGCACATGGTTCTCCATCTGCTAGATGCAACAAGGAGTGAAACTCCAGAAAGATAAAAAGCCTGAGAGACATCCAGGACAAGATAAGTCAGTTTTTCTCCCATTTCGCCTATAAGTGTCCTACCTCATCATGCCTGTTCTAGCAATCACATTTCTTTCAGTCTTTGGTGTACTGATGTGGAGATGAGGAGTTAATAAAAATTAATGGCGTGGACATACTCTTGCTGCTTGTGGGAGACTGTCATTTTATTCCTCTGTTGAAATATTACAAAAGTATTTAGAATTCCTGTTGCACATTTGCCCTGAAATCAATCAAAACCTCTGTATAAAAACCGTGACTGCCGTGAATTGAACTTCAGATCCTTACATCCCACTTGCAGTCACAAAAGCAAAAACTGCGACCAAGATCAGAGTTGCCATTCTTATCTCAAACAACGAAGCCCAGGCTCCCAGGTGATGCATATATGTATTTGCATATATTGGCCAGAAAATTCCTCATTAATCCACCAGTAAGAATAGTATCAGGCAAATCTTGACCAAGAAACAGAGGTGGGGAAAAAAGGTGTCAGCTATCTGTTAATTTATTCAGTTTTAGACAGAAAAGCGTAAGGCATTCAAGAATCACATAGTCATAGAATCATAGAATGGTTTGGGTTGGCAAGGACCTCAACAGGGACACCTCGCACTAAACTGTGTTGCCCAAGGCTCTGTCCAACCTGGCCTTGAACACCGCCAGGGTTGGAGCATTTACCTCTTCTTGGACAACCCATTCCAGTGCCTCACCACCCTCACTGTAAAGAACTTCTTCCTTAGATCTAATCTAAACTTCCCCTGTTTTAGTTTGAACCCATTACCCCTTGTCCTACCACTACAGTCACTGATGAAGAGTCCCTCCCCAGAACCAAACTATGGCAATTTGCATTTAAGAGAAGATGATGATAAACACAAAAGCTTTCTGTATAACAATGTGAAATGCTTTATAAAATTTTGATCTGCATGATGAAATAATAAATATTGTGATACACATGAGAGACAGATCTGAGTCAGAAACACTTTGCACCATACTTCAGAAAATTACAGATACACAATGCATTATTAGCAGTACTTTTCACCAACTGTTCCCATATGTAATAACCCTGTTCTTCTGAAATACAGTCTCAATTCCTTAAAAAAAATATATTGGTTGCATCTTTAGTTTTGCTGCATCTTCCAGTAAAGATCAGTTACTGCAGGTGGAAAGGGACCAACTGGGAGAGTTTAATGCTAGAAAAAGATACCACAGAATTGTATCATTTGCTGAAGAAACACTGTGCACTCTTGTCTTGTACAATACTTACGTGATTGCAAACAATGCAGTCTTCAGATAGTTCTCTTCCGGAATTCAAATGCGAAATGCTCGAGAAAAGGAAAAAAATTTAGATCTTCTGAACAGTTTTGTGTGGTATTTTAATTCTGTATCAGGAAATACACAGAAATCAATCAAGTATGTAGGCATCTATTTAAATGTCATATGGATATGGAGCTATTCATGAACAATCCACAAGACTTAGCAATCCTTTTTAGAGCTACGTGATGTATTTATTGAAGCTGGTTTACATCATCAGAACAATTAGGAAACTTAGAGTTTGTAGTTCAAATTCAAGAATATGCTATAAGTAGTAAATTTTAACTACCGTCATATAGTAATATTAATCTCATTTTGACTAGTGTGTGGTATTTGTTGTTTGCAGATAGATGGCTAAAAATAACTTAGAATAAAAGACCTTAGTGACTTGCTCAATATGTGAGTATTTTGTAAAGTGCTAAAGATAATAAACGGCTAATGACATAGATAAAGAGATCTTTTGGGGAAAATCAGATTCTTATGAAATCCTTTTTTATCTGGCAACATCATCTTACCTTTTTTCAATGCAGCAAAAAAACCCAAAACAAACTAAATTCTCTTCCCTCCTGCCAAAAAAAAAAAAAAAAAAAAAAAAAAAAGAAAAAAAGCTCATATATGTGAATGCAGTTATTAAAAACCTGTCTTTATAATAAACCAGAGGTAACAATTAAGGTCTGTATTCTGCTTTTACTGAGATGGCTGCAACAGAAATTTGACAGTGTGTTCTCGGAGACAGGACTTGACATAATTTGTCAATTTCTACCTATGAGATTGATTGGTGGTGCAACCTGTTAATTAAATCAGCATATAAAGAAAATGAATAATAATCACATTCCAGTCAAATAAAATTCAGTTTCACTTTATTCAGGGTGAAGAGGAGGTTGGGAGGTAAGAGGGAGGAGGTGGTAACCAAGAGAGCCATGCCACACAAAGCCATGCAGCTGAACAGAGGTGCAAAGACTTACAAATGTTTTAGCAATGTGTCTGTCATCTCTGATTCTATGTTTGGTTTGTCACTGATTTCTTAGAGGTAGTTCTAACCCTTAACAAACTACTACTGAGAACCCACATGACATTTCTCAAAGGTATTAAGCTTAGGCAACAGTCACCTAGAAGAGAAACTGTTCTTCAGTACAGGCCATGGTATACTTTTAAACACCACAGTGGGAAGACCTAAATGCCTACATTTTAATTTTTATTGATATCCCCTTGCCTAATTGCATATAAATTTTTAATAAAATTTAATATATCTATTCTGCCATCTTGTTGAAAAAATATGCATACTGCAATAAGGAGTGAGGCACAGCAGAGCGGACATCTCAAACACCTTGCAGTAATCCAGAAAACTACCTTGTGGTGTAAACCTGAACACCTTTCTTCTTGCCCCCAGCTCATGTACAGTTAAAACAAAGAACTGGTGTCTGCTGAGAAATGGCAAAATTCATTTATGACTGTATGGAGAAAGCGTAAGAGGAAAAAAAAGGGGGGTGGGGGGGAAGATACAATTTACTGACGAGAAAAACAAAACGAGAAAATCATGTTGTCATTAAAAGTGGAAACAAGGAGGGAACGTCCCATGTTGATTTTTGAACATTTTCGGTGTTTTTGTTCTTCGTTAAGGCTTTCAGTTAGCACAGAAGATAGAAATATTTTACACTCTATAGGAAAAATACAATTTTGGGGGAATTGTTATGTTTTCAAACCATGATTTTAGCCACAGACATGCACATTTAAAATAAATTCTTCAACATTAATGGTTAAATTGCCTAAAGATTACTGAAGAGCTAGCTGAGATTTGAGGAGTCTGTTGGCAACATAAACATAAAAGTTAAGAGTTTGAGATAATATTAATTGAAATAGAGGCTCTGTGAAGACAAAATATTTAGAATAGGGTAAATTGAGAAGCTACACAAATGGGAATGTACAAAGTAATTGCAAGACATACTAGAAGTGAAGGTTGCAGCAGATACTCAGTTAAATACTGGGGATAGAGAGAGAATGAGACAACACTTACCAAGAATTAAAATAATGAACTATCATGCCTAAGATGAAAAGTGACTGATGAAAAAAACTACAGCTACAGAGTGGTACTCAGTGCACCTAATAACACTACTTATGTAAGGCAAGGTATTCTATTAAGTTTGGCGTGATTATAACCTGAGTTAATACTCTTAGTACGTGCTTAGTGTACAAGCAAGTGGAGCAACACAGTCATTGTCATCGTTTGGAATTGTCTTATGATCTGTTGATTCAATTTACAATTTATGGGAAGAATTACAAGTTTACATGTATTTTGTAACCTCCTAAATGGTTACTCAACACTTATAGAAAGATTTAACAGTAAACTGAAGAACTGCAATTGTAGGTTAGCATGCTTGTCATTTTAGATTTTACAACAATGTGACAATTTGGATTTCTCAAGCACCAGCAATCTGCAATGTCAAAATTATATCCTCTAGCTATAAATATTCCAAACAATAATTTAGAAATAATATTCCGGCAGTAGGTACTTACTACATTTATCAGATATTTTGAAGATTTTTATATGGAAATTTATAGAAACCTTCATATAAAACTGTACTGTTTTTCCTGTACTTTTTATATCAACGGCAGTAAACAGCCATTCAACAACACTATGACTACTACATCTCAGGAATAAGCAGAATTGCACACACTCAGGCACTCTCTATTAAAGTTCTGCTGTCTGGATATGAAACAAAAAAGTTTCCTTGGGTAAGAAAAGTTGGTAAAAGCAACTGTGAAATACTGTATGTATTTATTAATATAAATTTTACTTTATTAGTCACTTGCTTAGCACACAATACTGTGTAAACCAAGGCATTTATTTTTGGTATGCAACAGTGCACTTATAACCCCATAAACTCCTTTATGAATTGCAAGACTTAATAACTTACTTAAAATGATAGGCTTTAATTACTATTTTTAGTGCAGAGATATATTAATTCTCCCCATTATATATATCTGTAAACTGTTGTATTTTCATGATACTGATAGAGGTTCTGCAACATTTCCTTGAGTACAAAAGTGTACTGTATGGTAAATTCATCCTGACCTGGTCCATTCATTTACAAAAAGAAAATGATGCTCACTAAGCAGCCACTCCTGTCATCATCTACATTACACTTCTCTTGTCAGTAGCCTCCTTCTTAGAATTTGAGTTGTAAGACTAGTGATTATTAAGTTAACATTTCCTTTGATAAACAAATTTGAATTTCAGTACAGCCTCAAGTCATTTGAAAAGTAAGTCTGAAACGAAGGACTGATTTTCAGAATAATCTTATTTGCTTTGAATAGTATTGTAAGATTTATTCCAGAGTTCGATTTCACTATCAAATGTAATGGTAAAACAAGTTAATTTTGCACTGTATTTATAAAAAACTAAATCTGGAATTCTTAACATTACAAAAGAAAAAAGAAAAACCAAACATAAGCCAAAACTTGGCAGAATTGTTTTGATCACTAGTTTTTTTTTTTGACTGCATGTCGTCTATTTTTGTTATATAGCCACAGACTGTCATGACCATGAAAAACAATTTCATAATTCTTTCTTCTCTCCTTTTTTTGCTTTTGTTGCCAATATTTAAATACTTTTGCTTGTTAAAAAGGAATTAAAATGTAGTTGTTCAGTATTCTTCGCATCTCCATTTGTTAAAATTTTGGCTGAGTCTCTCTCACTTCCTCCAGTTTAGAAAGGATCCACTGTGTGAAGAAAAAGGAAAAAATAAAATGTTTTCTTGGTTAAAAAACATACAAAGCAGGTGAAAATTATATTGGATTGGCCAGCCACTTCATTACCTGTTCTCTTCCTAACCAAGTTTTAACACAGTGTTCAAAATTCTACTGTAGATTATAACCCCCTGATTTTCTCACATGAAAATGGAGGCATTTAAGTACCAGTATCTGATACTGAATGGCACAGCTAATTAGACTGGCTAGGTTGGTATTTCAGTGAAGTATTTTTTAAAAATAAATGACATCATCATTTCACCCACATCATTATTAATGCTTTTGCATTAGTCTACAACTCTAGACAAATCACAAATGACAACAGAGAAGCAAGGATACCAAAAGACAGAGGACAAGAATACGTTGTAGCAATGTGGTAATACAGTTATTTAGAAACACACTTTCTTGAACTGTATTTGGTGAAACTCTGGAATTTCACATTCACATGTTTACTCAACATGAAAGGGAGATTAGTCTCCTAAGAGGTCTAAAAATAAAAAATGAAAAATGTGGGGGTTAGTGACATGGAAATCCATGGCAGAAGATGAAGTTATACAACAGGACTGCCATGAGAAATTTGCATAGCGCTTTAAGGAAGCTGAGTAGATGATTAAAATCAGATTCTGTTACTGGATCAGGTTTTATGTGACAGATCTTAAGGATGGCCTCCTCTCCATCACAAGCTTACCCCCTCAAGGAAACTTA